TATTGGTTAGTATTTACCAATCGATTTACAGTTCAAACATTTCTATGAAATAGAGATACAAACTTATTGAATAGATTTTTAAATTGTTGTTAAATTTTTTTATGATTACATTTGACAGGAAAGCGGCCAAAGCTTTACTCGTATTAACCCCATTGTTAGGCGTGGCTTATATGTTGGTTTTGGTCACTCCGACCCATCGAACCGCTAAACTTATCTTTCAATATCTTCAAGCGATTCTCGTCTCCACTCAAGTGAGCGACGAATTGAATGTTTTTTGTCCCTATATTCAAATAATAATATATTTATTTCTCATCCATTTCTATCTCGTTTAGGGATTCACTGTTGCAGTGCTTTATTGTTTTTGTAATGGAGAGGTATTTGAATTGCTTTTTTCTCTCACTTTAACTATTTATTATGTGTGGGAATTGAATATAATATGAGTTTTATAAGTGTATGAATTGATGAGATATTATGCATACTATTAGGTGAGGAATTCAGTTCGGCATCACTTCGAGCGCTTCAAACTGAGGCGAACCCTAAGAGGCGGTGAATATCCGGTCGGACAGAGAAATACATTCGCTTTCCGATCGTTAAGATATGGCGAGAATGTAAAACTGTATCGGAATAGGGGTGAGAGGGATAGGGGCTCGTGTATCAGCTTCTCCACCACAACCACATACGTGTCCAACAATCACAACCAGTCAAAGACCCGCAAACCCTCGACCAATGGATCGGTTAACAACTCCAGCGCTATCTACGGACCCATTGCTGGTCGCAAACGCAGCGACGAAGACGTCCTCTAAAACACAATATCATCGGTTATTCGTCGGCTGAGTTCATGGCATCAAGTTTTAGGTCAATTATAACGATATGGCTGTTCAAAAGGCGCAACAATTTTCAAGAATCTAATTTAAATATTGATAATTTAGATCTGAAAACATTGCTATCATTTCTAATCAATTCATACATATTATTGTGAGACTTAGAGAAAGGATTTTCATCACTAAAATAAGACAAAAATTTATTTTATTACAGAAAACAAATTACAATTTACTTCATTTCCT